GGATCCTGGTGGGCGGGTGCCACATGGGCAGAGGACCCTGGAGTCATTTCTAGAAGGGATTTTTTAAAACCCAGTCCTGTCCTGCCCCACCCCCAGCAACTAATCTTGTACCTTCCCAGCTTGGATGGCCCAAATGATACACCGCCCTCCCTACCTGCGAAAGTACGCAAAATTCTCCCACCCATTACGACCTAAGCGGTTTTTAATGGTTTTCAGAGCCTCTCATCTCTAATAGATTTTAAAAAATGCTCCCTGGGGCATTGCAGAGGCATTGACTGCTACTTGCACCAAACCCCTGGCTCCAAGATGCCCAGGAGATGTTCACTGGCCCTCGGGGCGGGGGCAGCCATACAGGACACAGCCCATGCTCTGCCAGCCAGCTCCTCTTGCTACAAGCTGCGTCTTCCTGATCTGCTCTGCCCCCACTCGGCGCCTGCCTCCCATGGCGCACACGTGCTACCGAAGGCTCCCACCCCCAGTGAGCTCCGAGGACCCCTTCCTCCATATGCAGAGTGGGGACCAGACAGGCTGCCCGCGCCAGACCCACGCCAATGTCATCAAGCCTCTTCCTGCCCGCACCAGCCCTCTGGGCACCCCCCACCCTAGCCCTTGCTCACCGTGCTCCAGACAGACCCTCCTCAACCTCACTTTGCCCCACACCCTAAACTGAGCCCGAATCTCCCATCACAGCCCCTTCCCAGACCCCTCAAGGCAGCAGCCAAAGGCAGGCGCTCCCCTAAGCCAGCCCTGCTTTGAGCCACATCCAGTGGTGTTCAAGGGCTACTCCCGGCTCTGCACTCAGGGATCATTTCTGGCGGGGCTCAAGGGACCGTATGGGGTGCTGGGGATTGAACCCAGGTCAGCCACATGGAAGTGCTTTCCCCGCTGTCCTGTCTCTCTGGGCCTCCACATACTTTTCGTATCTGTTGACGAAAAAGCAGGTGATAAGGCGCACACTGGCCCCATCCTCACAGAGCCCACGCTGTACCCCACCTCTGACCTCAGAGGAAAGGAGCACTGACACCCCCTTGTAGCACAAAATCCTTTGAGTTCCCCCCATTCTGGGGAGGAGGCCACGCCTGGCAGTGCTCAGTGCTCACTCCTGGCAGTGCTCAGGGGACCACATGTGGTCCTGGGGATCAAGCTTAGGTTGGGGACCAGAGTGAACAGCGGGTAAAGTGCTCGTCCTGCACCTGGCTGGCCTGGGTTCGATCCCCAGTGCCCCAGATGGTCTCCCAAGAACCACCAGGATGATCCCTGCGCACAGAGCCAGGAGTGAGCTCTGAGCAGTGCTGGGGTGGTACTGAAACAAAACACACCAACAATCTAGGGTCAGCCCTAGGCGAAGCAAGTGCCCCACCTGTGGTACTGTTGCTCAGTCCCCTGAATCTTATCACTCATCACACACCGCTGGGCATAACAGAGGAGCCAGGCCTCGTGCATTCCAGGTATCACATGCTACGTTCTTCCGACGTGGTCAGCTCAGGCAAGGCAGAGAACGTTCGTGGACAGTATGGCCTGTGTCCACGGACACACACACGACAGTCTGAGGCCCAGGGCTCACTCAGGTGAACAGGAGTCACTGTCCTGTGACCAGCAACCTCCCCCAGCCACCCCACCCCCACCCCGGGCCCTGCCAACTGCATCGGTCAGGGATGCCCCTGACTAATGTGGGCCCACGTCGGGACCCCGAGAGCACTGTGGCTCTGTTGCCGCATGTCTGAGGCGGGAGTGGGGAGACCTCAAGGGACACTCCTGCCACCTCCAGGCACTTGGGGTGGCCGCAGGAAAAGGGAGAACTGCCAAGCTGGTGTCCTCGGGTTTGGCAGGGCAGCTTGTCTCCGGGTCACTGGCACAGTCAGTGTCCCCACTCTGGGCTCAGCCTGGGGCCCCACTTTCAGGCCAGGGGCCGTCTGGCCACCGCCGGCTGGTGCCACACGGACCTCAGAGCTTCTGAGCGACACTCAGGCCCAGACATCGAACAAGCCGCCACAGCCGCCGGTCAGGGATACGAGACCCCGGCCCGGGGACAGGGGTAGGAGGCCACGGGCTTCTGAGTTGTGTGTGCCCCACTCTTAGGGTGGGGCAAGGGTGGGCTTCAAGACAGGGGTGGGCTCTGCCCTTCCCCAGCCCCCGTTCCCAAGGGTGCAGGGGCGAGGGCACTGGGGAAAGAGGGGTGGAGAGAAGGGGACACGGGTCCTTTTCAAAGCACTCGAGGGACGCAGCAGGTTCTGGGCCTCTGTCTAGGGGCCACCTCACCTGCCACCCCAGCACTGGGCGGGGCTCCAGGGGCCAGTTCCCAGGTTTGCACACTGCAGTGAGCAGAACTGAGCGCCTGTCACCCAGGCCCACCTGGCCAAGACTTTGAGCCGTCAACCGGCCACCCCGGAGTCTCAGCCAGTGGGTGGGAGTGTCTAGAACAACATGGGCTCCTGACTCCTTGCCCAGTGCTCAGAGGAAACAGAACAGGGCCCCGGGCCAGAGAGCTGGTGCACACTTGCGTGCAGGAGGCCCAGGTTCACCCCCAGAACCTCATCGACCCCACCCAGTATCACCAGGTATGACCCCTGAGCACCCAGCTTGGAGTAGGTCCTGAGTACCACCGGGGGCCAGAGGCATTGGCCCAAGGCTCAGGCCTTGGACAAAGGCAGGTGCTGGGCGTATCTGACAACTCCAAGCGTTTCTTGGGGACTCCAAAGGAGGAGCAGGAGGGATGGAGGGACTGAGTTAGAGCATCAGCACTGAGGGGCCCACATGGTCCGTGTCCCCTGCCGTGGCCACCCCCTGTCCTGCCCAGGCTGAAGCCACACTGTCCTCCCTCCGCCTCTTCCCCCGGTCATACCACGCTCATAGCAGAGTTGGGTGCAGGCGGGCGTGGTGGGGGAACTCCGTCATCCCCTGGCACCTGAGGATGACCCTGGAGAATCAGAGCCTCAGTTTCCCCAGAGTCCAGTGCAGCTGAGAGCAGCTGGTCTCAGGGTGCAGGTGGCCGGGGGTGGATGCGGGCACTCCCTGGGTCACGGGGGTCTCGGGGGTCCTGAGAACATCTGGCCCTGCCCATGGTGGCGGTTATCAGGAAACACACTGGGAGGGGACGGACCCCCCAGTGTGTGCCCCCCAAGAGGCCCTGAGAAGGCCAGTACTAAGCCCCAGCGCTGAGGGGCCCCTGCCCCCCACCCACGGTTCCAGTGTCCACCTGGAACTAGGAGCATCTGTCCTCAGGTGGCTAGAGGAGGTTGGAGTGGGAGAAACCAAGCCTTGGGGGGTCGGGTCCCTGTCCCAGCACAGCCTGGGCCCTGAGGCCTGAATCGCTTGGCCAGTGCACCCCTGCCCCACCCCAGCTCGGCGGGTCACAGCATTGGGCTAATGGCCTACCTAAGTGGGTGCACATGGGCAGCTACTTCAGTCAGTGCCTCATCTGCTCATCTGTGAAATGGGCTGAAGTCACCACTTTGTGAGGCTGATCCACCCACATGCCAAGACCTGGGTCGACCCTTGCCACATGCATGTCTGGTCCGTGGTTGCTTGTTTGCTGCAGCTCCCCAGAGATGCTGGGGGTCACGAGGGCGCCCCCCAGAGGTGGTGGGGTTGGAGGATGCAGTCCCAGGATGGTCCACAGGACTGTCCTGAGAGACCCGACCACTGGCGTTGGTTCTTATCAATCCCCTGGACCAGCCAGTATGGGACATCCTGGAGCTCCTTGGGGAGGCTGGGGGGAGGGGCTGCAGGTCACTGGCGGCCCACGGGGCAGCTGAGGCCCGGGCTGTGGTCAGGGACCAGTGTGTGGGCCGGGGCCGTTGACGGGCTTCACGACCTGCTGTCCACCCCGTGCCTCTGTGTCCCGTCCCCAGGGACGGGTCAGTGGGCAGAGCTGGCAGAGCAGTGCTCCCGGCCAGCTGAGAGGCGGGAAGCCAGCCTGTGTCCCTCTTCCTGTGTCCCCCGGCCTCCACCTGGCTCGCAGGCCGCCGTGACTTCACGTCTGGTCTCCAGGCTGAAGCCCACCTGCCACTGCCTGTGGTCCCACGCCCGCTGGGGACACGTGCCCTGGCCTTCCAGGGCCTCCACAGCCCCCTCAGCTGACGGTGCAGGAGAAGCCCGAGGGTCCTGATCGGCCAGGCTCAGCCTCTTGATGCCTCCTGGTGCCAAAGGTCCAAGCAGGGGCCTCCCTGGACAAATGACCGTGAAGCAGCGGCCATGCGTGGGGGTCACCAGAGGGTTAATGGCACTGCTCAGCCCAGACTGTGGTGTCCTGGCAGGAGTCCAGCAGAGGAGATGGGTATTAATAACCCGTGGTGACAGGACCCCCTGCAGGAATGTTCTCTGTGAGGATGAGGGCCTCGAGGAGGGACGCTTCCTGCTGGGGTTCCGGCAAGGCTGCCCTTGGGGGAGGCAGAGGCGGCCAAGGAGCACTGCCTACGTGCCTCCGTGCTGCCTGGCCCTGGCGCCTGTCTCGGGCCCCACATTCCTCCAGCAGGTGTACGGGGGGAGGGGGTGCGGCGGGGATAGGACCACGGTGGCAAGGGCGCTGCAAACAAGCCAGGATTGGGCCAGAGCCATAGTCCGGCGGGCAGGGTGCTGGGCGTGCACGCAGCCGGCCTGGGTTCGGTCCCCAGCACCCCATATGGTCCCTCGGGCACTGCCAGGAGTGATCCCAGAGCATGGAACCAGGAGTAACCCCTGGAGCGCCTCCCAATACGACCCCAGACCAAACATCCAGGTGGCCCAGGTTCAAATTCATAACATCGTTTCCTGGCTGTCCTTCTCAGCCGGCTTGTTCCTCCAGGACGACCGCTGTAAGCGGGTTCCTGTAACAGATTTTTCCCAGGAGAAATCGATACCCACAGACAGCCTCCTTGGACCCCTGGCCCAGCACACCCTCACTCTTGCTCCCCCCCTGCTTTCCAGAACCGCCCCCTCCCGAGACTGCGTGCAGAGCCAGCCTCCAGGCCTCAGGACTTACCGGTGTGGGTCTGCGGGGAGCCCCCTCCCCGCGTCGAAGCATGGTTCTGCAGAACGGCATGGACCCTGGGCACCCCGTGCGTCTGGAGCCCTTCCTGCACCAGGTCGGGGGCCACCTGAGCGTGATGAAGTACGACGAGTCCACCATCTGCAAGCCCCTCATCTCCCAGGAGCAGAAGTTCTACGAGTCCCTGCCCCTGGCCATGAAGCAGTTCACCCCCGAGTACAAAGGTGAGTGGTGAGTGTGTGCACACAACACACATACACATGCAAACACAAATACACACACAGACACACACATACATACACACAAACACAAACACAGAGACACAGAGACCACACACAGACACACACAGATACACACACACAAAGACACAGATATACATAGACAGAGACACAGACACACATATACACAGACACACAGACACACACGTATACACAGACACAGACACACAGACACAGACACACACAGAGACTATACAGACACACAGACATATAGATACACACAGATAAACAGCAAACACAGACACACATAGACACACACACAGAGACCACACAGACACACAACAGATACACAGACACATAGACACACATAGAGATACACACATGAACACAAATACACAAATGCATATACAGAGGCTCACCCCAGAGTGCAAAGGTAAGAGCATACACACATATATGCACACAGAGACACACACAGACACAGACAGAGACACATGAACACAAGCACACAGCCTGGGCCAGGTATGTCTCCCCCTCCGCCCCTCCCCCGTGCAGCGGGGAGCCTGTGGTTGCCATGGAGACGGTCCCTCTCCCCCAGCCTGGCTGCCCTCACTGGCCGCTTCTCTGAACTCTTGGAGCCCCCCGGCCTCAGTGGAAGGCCTGTTCGGTGCCCTGCACACCAGTCAGGCCTCAGGGAGAAGTGACCCCTGTGACCGGGCCAGCTAACACAGGGCAGGTGGGGCCCTATCGCCTCCCTCTGGAGCACAGGTGGGTGGGGCGCCTGGGCTGGGCCATTTATACCTGCATCCCGGAAGGGACATCGGGGCTGGCTCCGTCTGCAGTGCTCGTTGCTCTCTCTCCTCTCGGGCTTCGGGAGGGAGGTAGCTGGCAGGGTCTGGGGGGACAGTGGGATCGGCCCCCAGGGTCACGGCTCACACAAGGATGTGTCTGAGGAAGGCCCCCTGCCCAGATGTGGCGTGGCTGGCGAAGAGCTTCTGCCCCCAGTGCCAAGGGTGTGGTCAGTGGGGGGCCCAGCTGGCGCCCTCCAGCATGGCGTGGGATGAGGGTGACCCTGCGCCGGATCGAATCAGCACCACAGTGTGAGCCGACCGGAGAAGCAGGCGTGTGTGCTGGGCAGAGGCGCTCCCACGGCGTCTCCAGGCCCCACTCCAGGCCGTGGGCCGGAACCTCTGGGTTAGGATGCCACGGCAAATCCCCAGCAGGCTCAGGAGCCACGCAGACCCCCCAGCAGGGCTGACCCCCACACTCCGCTGCGCCCCGGCTACCAGAGTGAGCGTCCAGCGTGACACCCAGACGTGGGGTCGCGGCCTTTGGGGCTCAGGCTGGGGCTGTGCCTCCCGTGGGGGGCTCTCAGGGCAGCCCCCAGGTTAGATCTCAACGCTGCACACAGGCTGTGGGGGACGGGGCCTCCTGCCCACCCGTTTCACACCTTTCTGCCCAGTTCTGGAGCAAGCGGGAGGGTGAAGAGAGGGTCTGCAAGGTTCCGTCTGCAACGCCCCCTCCTCTGCAGCACATGAGACGAGGGGACCGCCTCCCGGGCCCTCGGGCCTGGCCTACTGCCCAGACCGCCCAGCCTGCCTCCCCCCTGCAGGTTGGGCCCATCCAGGTGACACAGCCTCGGGCTCCACCAGCTCCACAGATTAATTATAGATTCATCTGGATTCATCTTGAGCCAAAGTGTCGTAGGTGGCTTGCTGCGGCAGGAGGCTGGGGCTTCCTGAAGGGCTGGAGGGGCCCCTCTGGCCCATGGAGGGGAGAGTGAAGTGGAGGCCTGGGCAGGGTGGAGGCCAAACAGGCGGTTTCGTAGGTGTAAGATGGCAGCCCGAGCGCACGCACGTCTGAAGGGACCAAGAGAGGCCCGGGGCCCCAAGCACCCATTTCGTCTGTTCGAGTCTGGGTCTTCTTGGTTTCTAGTTCTGGGCTATTCCGGGCTCAGTGCTCTACAGGTCACTTCCTGCAGTGTTTGGAGGAACATGGGTGCAGGGTCAACCCTACGACTCCCGCTTGCGGCCCTTGGAACTAGCCCCCTGGCCTGGCGTCGGGTCTCATTCTATTTTATTGGGGCGGGGGGGGGGGGTTAGCAGTGCTTCGGATGGACTCCTGTCTCTGTGCTCGAGGGTCACTCCTACTGGGCCGTGTATATGCCGGGACCCTGCACTAGGCAGGGATGGAAGCAGCATCACAACAGGGCTGACCAGGAGCCCCTTGATAGGCACGCGTCCCACTCCGTGCTGCCTCCTGGCCTGAGGTCAGGTTTTATTTCACGTTATTTTATCTTATGGGGAGGGCTGGCCGCTTCTGGTGGTGCTTAGGGCTCCCTCCGACTCCACGCTCGGGAATCGCTTTGACAACGCTTGGGGGACCACACGTGGTGAATGAATCAGGGATGCGTGTAAATCAAGGCCCATGCTGTGCGACCTCCCTGGCCTCAGGTCAGACTTTCCCTGGGAAAGGTCAGTTGTGCCAGGCCCCGGCTCCATCCCAACACCACACAGATCTCCCTAATGACTGAGTCCACGGGAAAGGCTCCCCCGAGGGCTTCAAATCCCAGCAACATGGGATTGACCCCAGTACGGAGCCAGGAGTCAGCCCTGCGCACCACCAGGAAAAGAAAGGAGAGAGGAGGGGAGGAAAGGAAAAGAAGGTGAGGGGGGAAGGGAAGGAAGGAAGGGGAAGGGGAGGGGTGTGGAGGGTGGGTGAGTCTGGCCGACTGGGAAGGGGCTGCCTCCTCCAGGGCCCCAGCCAGGGGACCCGAGTGTCCCCAGACTGCCACGGGGACTCTCTTTCCCTCCAGAGCCAGGGGGCGTCTCTGCAGCTGCACCACACCCGCAGGCCACACCGTCTCCCTATCCCCAGCTGCAGAGCTGTGGTGAGTGGGGGTCGGGCCCCTTCCCCAAGCTGGGAGCTCAGCCCACCCCTCTCGGGCCCCGGAGCATGGCTGTCCGCTCTGGCCGAGCAAGGACACGCTCCCGGGGCCGTGGACACTCACTGGGAGCCAGATTCAGGTTACCGGCCGCAGGGCGAAGTCGTGCTCTCATGAGCTTAAAAATAAACACATGACGGAATGTCCGCGGATGCGGTGGGGACTGCTCAGCCAAGAGGCCGCTGCTGAGGCTCGGGCCAGCCCTGCAGGGTGGGGGGTGGAGGTGCTGCAGGAGGCTCCCCCCTCCTCCCGTGGCCAGACCCTCAAGACAGGCACTGCCAGGGCGAGAGGGCAGCGAGGCGGCTGTGCGGCTCAGACAGGGGAGGAAGGAAACGACTCAGGGTTTATTGGTTTGGGGCTATTCACAGCCCCGTGAGCCTCCGCTCAGACACCAGACGGATGATGAGCTCCGGCGGAAGCCCAGAGAAGCAGGTGAAGGTCAAGTGCACAAATGTCCTTGCAGGAGGCCTCCTGAGCATCCCAAGACAAAGGGACAGGCCGGGGCTCTACATGAACCTACAAGGTCCCACGGCCCTTGGCTGCATCACACCAGAGCCCCCACCCTGTGGCTTGGGGGGGTACCCGACTTCCTGAGGGTGTTCCGGGTCCTGCAGGTGTGGGCCAGCGAGCCCCACTCTGAGGACACAGGACTGGAAGGACCACGTGTCCTTGGGTGTCTAGACTAGCCTGGGGGGGGGGTCAGAGCTGCCTGCCCGGTCCCCAGCAGGACTGTCCCTCATCCACACCCGGCTGAGCAGCGCCTGGTGTCACCCCGACTCCCCCAGAAGGGCTCCGTGTCACAGCCTGGTCCTTCTTCCGGAAATGCCACTGCTGCGGCCGTCTTGGGCCTGAAGGATGTGTGACCTTGAAGGAGGACTTGGGATTCAGGAGTGAGCCTTGGGGGGGTGGGGGGACATGTGACTCAAAGGACAGGCAGTGCCAGCCCACAGTGGGCGCAGGGCGCCAGCCGTGACCAGGGTCCCTCTGCGACCTGCCCTCTGTCCCCCCACCCCTAGCGCTGGTGGCAGACTGGGTTGAGGGGGGTGCTTGGGGGGAGGGTGTGTGCCAATGCCCAGGTGTCAGGGCCAGGGTCTGTACCATGACCAGGGGCTCCATCACTCCGGGAAACACAGTTGCTCATTCCTGGGTGCAAACCTGGGGACCGGGGGTCAGAAAAGAGAGGATGGGGGCGGGGCGGCTCCAAGCAGAGCCCAGCAGCCTCAAGGAGCACCTCACAGGCTTACAGAGCAGCTCCAGGAGTGAGCGTCTGGCCCGACAGGCCTCAGGCCCAGACAGGCTGTGAGTGGCACAGCAGCTGCCGTGACACTGGCCCCTGGGTCAGCAGAAATTGCCACCGTGGCTGGGAAGGTGGCCGAGGGGCTGGGGAGGAGACAGCCCCTCCCTTGGGAGCCGGCATTATATGCGCCCACCGCCCCCCTAGTTGGGGCCCCCACAGAGAATAAATGAGAAGGGGCCTGATCCTCCCAGCAGGGGCCGTGGCAGCCAGGCAGTGCTGGGGATCGAACCCCGGGCTTCGTGTGTGCTGGCGAGTGCCGATCTCCTGAGCCACAGCCCAGCCCTGAGGTGGAAGGGGTGTTCTTGCACGTGTGTTGTGGAGCGGGGCCACACCTGACTGTGCTCAGGGATTGCTCCTGGAGGGGCTTGGGGACCACCTGGAACAGGGTCACGAGAAACAAGGCAAGTGGCTTGACCCCTGCACTCTCTCTCTCATGGGGACCCTTGGCAGTGCTCACGGCTGAAGGCCCAGGGGAAGCAGCACCATGACCATCCCCTGAGCGAGGCCAGGAGGCCTCAGCCACGGCAGAGAGACTCCACGCTGTAGTAGCAGGAGAATACCCTCCCCTCCCCGTCACCTACCAACGCGCCCACTGGCCCAGCAACTGGAATCAGGGCGTGCTGGCACCCTGTGGTGCTCTCCTCTGTCAGGAGCAAGGTGGGGGCTGTGGTGGAGGTGGGCTTCTAGCTAGGATGGATCTAGACGCCTGTCTCTCCCCCGCCACCAGCTCCCGCGTCTCCAGAACCTGGCACAGCTGGGCACCAGGTGCCAGCAGCCGAGGGATGCCAGGGCTGCTGTGAGTGAGAGTCCCCTGAGCCCCCCCCCCCCACCCCCCCCGCGCTGACTCGGAAAAGCCACGCCAAGGGCACCTTTGTCTCCTCACGTCCACCCCCTCAAGCAGCCAGGAGGGCGTCCTGAGGCAAGCCCCGAGGCTCCCCAGGCGTGTCTGAGTCTGAGGCGAGGGCAGGCCTGGTGAAGGGGGAGCTCCAGCCCGGGAAATGTTCCCGAGAGGCTAGGGACACAGAGACACACAGATCGGGGATGGGAGGGAGGCGGGAGGGGACCGTGTGGCCCAAAGGTTGGAGGCTGGTGTGCCGGCAGCGGAGAGGGCCCAAGGCAGCGTCCAGACCAGCAGGAGGCACTTTCTGCAAACTCCACGGGTCCCGGCGCTCTGGAATGGGGTCCAGCTGGTCCTTGAGAGAAGAGCACGTGCGTGTGCTTGTGTGTGTGCATGTTAGTGTGTACGTGTGTGTGCGTGTACGTGTGCATGCATATGTGCGCGTGCGTGTGTGTGTGTGTGTGTGTGTGACCGGCACCACCGTGCTCAAACTCACACATCGTTACCTTGTACCCCGCAGGTACCATCACCGTGCACCTCCGCAAGGACAGCCTGGGACACCTCAGCCTGGAAGCCAACCCGCTGGCGGAGAACGGGGGCCCCTTCCAGGTCTCCCCCGAGTCAGCCGTGGCGCTATGGCAGAGGCTGCAGCAGAGTGCGGGAGGGGGCGCCCGGCCCCTGGCCCCTTGGCAGCAGGCCCAGCTGGCACACTCGCTCAAGGAGAGGTGAGGGTCTGGGCGGGGGTGGGGGCAGACAGAGCTGGGAGAGACTAGGAAAAAACCCCGTGTGGGCTGGCGGACACCCAGCCAGCGCTGGTGTCTGTTAACTATCCATTTCACGGAACCTGAGGTGCCTCTGGGGGGCAGTGTGCAGAGAGGAGCCCCAGGATAGTCGCACGGCACGAGGGGGGAGCGTGGCTGATGGGTCTCAGAAGCCCCTGCAGCCCCCGGGATCCCCCCACAGCACCCGTCATGTTAGCGACCTTCCCCGTGGAAGGGCCCCTGGGAGCTTAGAACACGGCTGGGAAACAAAGGGAGTTAAGAGGATGTAAGTGCCCCCCCAGGAGCGCCGCTTCCTCCCGCGGATCTCATTAAGCCGCTTGGCCCGGTGACAGGAAGTGGCACAGTTATCTCCCTTCTGCAGACGGGGAGCCAGGCAAGAGGGGGGCAGCGAGGGCCCCCGATTTCCGGTCGCCCTGCCATCCCCTGTGGCCTCGCAGAGCCTGACACCACACAGACCGCGCGGGCAGGAGGGGTCCTCGGAGCCTGGGCAGCCCACACCCCTCCCCAGACCAGGTGGGCCCCTCGCAGTAGACCCTCCCTTCCCCCCACTCAGCCACCTGTGTCTCCCTCACAGCAGCAGCCGGGCCACAGCGCTACTGCGGTCCGAGTTCCACCTCCACTCCCCGGAGCCCTCCCTGGAGGCCCAGGAGGCTGAGGAGCACCAGGCCGAGAGCAGCTTCAACCCGTGGGGCCTGCACTGCCACCAGGCCCACCTGAGCCGCCTGTGCGCTGAGTATCCTGAGAACAAGCTACAGAGTATCCTTGGCTGCCCCTGGGGCGGGTGTGTGTGTGTGTGTGTGTGTGTGTGTACATGTGTGCGCGTGTGCATGCTGTTTGTGCGCATGTGTGCGTGTGGGGGGCGGGAGGAAGGGTGACAGACAGGCAGACCTAGAGCAGAGGTAGGAGAGGAATACACATAGGCCAAAGAGAGTGACCCAGCCCTCGAACCCAGGACCTGAAAGACATGAGACAAACTGGAGGGTGAGGAAGTCAGACTGCAGGTTTAGGGGAACCCAGTGCCACCTAAGCAGGCGGGATGAGCTGGATGGGGTGGGGGGGCGGGAGGGGGTCCGGGAGCAGGAGGGAAAGGACTGCTCCCTGGGACGGGGGCGGGGAGCTCCTGGACCACAACCTCCCTTCTCTCCCCCCAAGCTGATGGGAAAGAAGAGCAGAGTCTTGTGCAGGGGTCGGGGGCTGATCTCTCAGGGGACCCTGCCTCCTTCTCAGCCCCCCAAAGTGAGGCTTGAAATGCCCCTTTGTCACTGTCTGGAATGGGTCGCTGGCTTGCTAGTATTCCCTAAAACACATCTGCAATCCTAATCCCTAAGAAGCTTTTGCAGGATAATTACTCCGCCCAAATTAATATCCCTGCTACTCATCTTCGAGACAAACATCAGCCCACTTCCCCACAAAGGTATTGGCCCAGCCGGTGGTTTCAGCCTCCCAGGTTTCAGCCTTGTGATTTTCCGCCGTGAGATGTAAATTGGGCCTGGCCTGCCAGGGATTTCACGCCTGCATTTAAATTTCATCCTCAGAGGGGGGGTGGGGGGGGAAACGGGGCCGGGGAGAGAAGCTGGCACACACACATAAACTCCCCCTAAATAAACGGGCCGATTAAGGCAGCGGGCAAAGCTAACACATGAATTTCTTAATCGCAACGCTGGCGGGTCTGGGAGGACAGGACGGGTGGGGCGCGGGACCCCGCGGCCAGGGCGAGCCCTCTGCACCCGGACCCTCCTTCACTCAGCGCGACCAGGGTTCCTGCTGCTGGAGAACGTGGTGTCGCAGTACAAGCTGCCGTGCATCCTGGACCTGAAGATGGGCACGCGGCAGCACGGGGACGACGCGTCCGAGGAGAAGAAGGCGCGCCACATGCGCAAGTGCGCGCAGAGCACCTCGGCCTGCCTGGGCGTGCGCATCTGCGGCATGCAGGTGGGTGCGGCCGCGCGGGAGGGGCCCGGCTTCCTGCGGTGCTGGCGACAGGACCACCTGGGCACCCCCGGCCCCACTGGAAGGAGAAACCGCGACCACTTTGGCGGGAGGGGCTGTTCCAGGCTCTGTGCTCAGCAGCGACCCCTGCTGGCACCTGAGGGGAACCGCACGTGGTGCCAGGATTTGCACCAGGGTTGAGGCTGCGGTAGCCTCACGCAAGGCAAGAGCCCTATGAGCTCCTGTACTATCCCTCAGGCAACAGATTTTTTTTTAATTTATCTGGTGTTGGGGCTGGAGCGATAGCACAGCGGGTAGGGAGTTTGCCTTGCACGTGGCTGACCCGGGTTCGATTCCCAGCATCCCATATAGTCTCCTGAGCATTGCCAGGAGTAATTCTGGAGTGCAGAGCCAGGAGCAACCCCTGTGCATCGCTGGGTGTGACCCAAAAAGCAAAAAAAAAAAATTATCTGGTGTTTGGGTCAGAGCTGGAGTGCTTAGGGCTACTCCTAGCTCTGCATTAAGGGACCGCTCCTGGTGAGGCTCAAGGGACCCCTATGGGGCTCCAAGGATTGTTAACGGGCTAGTGTCCTACCCACTGTACTCTCTGGCCCTGGATCTCAGGGTCTTTGTGGTGGAGACTTGTCACCGTGGCCATGTGGGTCGTGCCTGTGTGGAGGGCAGAGCTTTGTTGGTAGTGTGTGCAGGAAGCAGGGAAAGAAGAGAAGTGGCTCTCTATAGCACAGATGCCTTGCTCTCCTGAATGAGGCTGAGTGCACACACACGTGCGCACACATACACACAGAGGCACAGACACACAGGCACACACAGAGGCACACAGGTGCATACACACAGGCACACACAGAGGCACACAGGCTCATTCACACGCCCACATGGGCACACAGGCACACATGGGTACACACAGGCGAGCATGCATGCACACACACACACACACACACACACACGCAGGAGCACACACGCACACCCAGCTTTGCAGAGGCTATGAGGCAGTCTGCCCTTTGAATCCTTAGCAGCCACTCGCGACTCTTCTGATGCTTTTTTTGCTACCTGTTCTGCTTAACAAAGCCGGAAGGTTTATAACCTGCTGCCCCCGGCAAAGGAACGGTTAATATTTTATTACGCTTCATTTTGGTGGCAGCTCTGATGTGGCTTATGGCGGGGATGGCAGCCGAACAGGAGGAAATAAACTTTCTCCATTCGTTCACTTATAGTCTAGCTACTCAAAGCAAAACCAGAGACCGATCTGACGGTAAATGTTATAGCTTTCCTTAATTGAAACTGCCACCCCTTGAAACTGGAAGTTGAGTCTATAAATTTGTTGCACAGATGTCCCCAGGAAGGTTTGGGAGGCAGTCCTCTAGAGAACGGAGGCTGATGATTTGTGGTGTAAATGGAATCTCTCTCCGGACCTCAGAGCCTCCGGAAATTGATCTGATTTATTTGGAAAGTGAAGCCTGTCATGTCGCTCTGACGGCTAATTTAGCAGCCCATCTCCAGCCCTTCACAGCCAACAGCAGGTCCATCATCTCCCTCTGATTTCCTGCCCCCATAAACACAGCATCAATCAGTTCTGACGCAGTATCGGCCCTTCCCAGGCATGCCAGGCCACGCAGAGGTGTGCCAAGTTACCCCCTGGGCATGGCAGCCTCACCTGCTGCCCGTGCCATCTGAATGCAGGGGGCAGCCCCCATGGTGCCCACCAGTCAGCATCCGTCCTCCATCTGCTCCTTCCTGCTGGCCAAGACAGGGAGGGGAGAGGAGTGGGAGCCTCAGGGAGTGGCTGGGAATCCCCCGCTCAGCCCTGGCCCCACTTCCGGCCCTTTGGGTTGCCTGAAAATTCCTTGAATCGGGCTGCTCATCTTCAAATGTCCACCCGGAACGCTGTCCCTGTTTCTTGAGAACCTGCAGTACTTTGTAAACTTTGCTGGGGGAAATTGTCATCTTGTTGCCTTTCCAAGGCAAGGTTGGCCATGATTTCAGATTCCTGCTTGGGTTTGCTAATATTTGAGTGGAAGCGAGCCAAGAGCCAGGGTTTAAATCATGAGTTGGAGCCTAGTATTGGTGGGAATTCCAAGAAAAAAAGACCCAAAACCTTCCCTTGTGGGTGGAGGGTCACCTTCGCAGGGCGAATGAGCTTTAGGTCTTGAATGTCTATGGAAGGCTTGCACAGAAAGCGTTTTAAAATGTAAAAGCTACACTGGTGCTAGATTAAAAAAAAAAATCATCTTTGTGTTCTTTTCAGCCATGCCTGCCTCCCGTGTCCTGGAAAAAGCTGTTTCTAGATGATGTTAGCTTGTAGCCGTAGCAGATGCAATTTTTCCGTCACGATTTTTCATTCCTTTTTTTTTTTATGCCAGGTTTATCAAACCGATAAGAAGAATTTCCTCTGCAAAGACAAGTACTATGGGAGGAAGCTCTCGGTGGAGGGCTTCAGACAAGCGCTCTACCAGTTCCTGCACGACGGGTCTCGCCTGCGGGCAGAGCTGCTGGGGCCCATGCGGGGCCAGCTCCGGGCCCTCCTCTCTGTCATCAGAAGCCAGACTTCCTACCGCTTCTACTCCAGCTCTCTCCTCATCATCTACGAGGGCCAGGAAGGCCCCGACACCCCACCAGGCACCCCCGCCGGCCCCGGGACCCAGGACTCGGCTCTGCACACAGCCCAGGGCGACTCTCTCGAGGGCCTGGCCAAAGTCGACATCCGGATGATAGATTTTGCTCACGCCACGTACAAGGGCTCCTGGAACGAGCAGGCCACCCACGATGGACCCGATCAAGGCTATATTTTCGGCCTGGAAAACCTTCTCCAGATCCTGCAGGATATCCAAGAGGGAGAATGAGACATGGTCGGCCCATCCGAGTTCTTCCGAGACGAAAGAACTCAAAAGGGGCCTGTGAGGTAGCGAGGGTAGTCTAGATGCCCCCTTTGGTGGTGTAAACCTTTTGTAATCATCATACCTATGTTCGAACGCCGTATATCTCTGCATATCAGGCTGCAATCCTAGCTGCTAAAGAAACCAGTGCTGGGAGCTGGAATGACCAGCCCATCCCAGCCCCACCGGCCTCCGAACCCCTGCTGCGGGGCGCTTTGATCAGGCTGAGCTGAGTGCACCCTGCAGCCGCCCAGCCTCGGGAATGAAAGTTCATTAGCACCAACCCCGGAAATGCTCCTGTTCTTCACCGCTTCAGTGATCACTGTTCCCACTGGGTTATTTTTCACCACGAAGTCTTCCGTATCCAAAGGCGCCTCTGGGATGTCTGAAAGGGACAGCTCATTTCTACGCTGCCGTGGTTACGGGGGCCACCAGCCACATGGTGCTGGCTGCTCCGTGGCCCCGAAAGGAAGCTCCTGGCGGCAGCAAGGCAAGCCGGAGCTGGGGTGGGAACTTCGCCTTGTGATAGCACTGAGCTTTTTGCCGTGATGAGAAGCATCTGGAATAGTCGTGATTCAATTACGTTGAGAGAACATGTTAAAATAAAGGAGAACAGGGAGCCATCCCTGGCCACGATTCCATGGACCCTGCATCTGTGAACACCTGATCAGCAGACAGGACAGACAGTGGACACTGGTGCCACCTGGGGTACATAGGCCAGCGGGAGTGGCACGCATCGCAGGCCAGCATTCCGAAGATTCAGGAATGTTTGCATGGAAAGACACTTTGGGGCTGCAGTCTTCACAGTGAGACACCCTCCTTACCTGGATAAACCATGAGGAGTGAGTTGGTGAGGCCAAGGCCAAGTGCTCCTGAGGGCTGTTCAGTCAGGCAATGGTGCAGAGAGAGGCCACCATGTCTCTCCCTCCTCTCCTCCTGGGGCCATTTAGGATGAACTGGACACCTCGGCCCATCTTGCCCTCTTTGTACCCAGACTCCCGGGTGTGGAGAGCCAAGACCCCATTTTTGTCCCTGGAGAACAGGGTCTTACAGACTTCAGTTACCCAAGTACTGATTTATGAAATACAGCTTCTGGAGAAAGGTGTGGAAATGCACCCGAGGCTTCCAGAGCCCATAATGCCAAACTATACTCCCAGCTCTCATTTTCATTTTGGGGGGTGGGGGTGGGGGGAGGGGGAGCCTGATGGACCCAGGAAATCAGGCGCGATGTTTACAAGACTGGTGGGTGTGTGTAAATGTGGAACAAAGAGCAAACAGTTGTAATTAATTCCTTCTTCTGCAGTGTGGAAACCCATTACAACGCCCCGGAGTCCAGCACTGAGCTCCGTTACCCAATTAGGGAAATAAATTTGTTAATAAAATTGCTGAGGTCACCAGTGATTATTTGGTGCGCCTTATTACCCTTTCTGTTTGTTCATTCCCTTCGTCACATCACACGGCGCTTCCAAATTATGGGCGGCTGGAGGATGCAGCTAGAACACTTCGCCGATTTTCGGGCGTCTTTCGGGAAATCAGGGCTGGGAGGCGGGGCTAGTGAAATATGGGCCTGTGTCTGCGAGGCAAGCGCCAGGTCTGAGAAGTAACGGTCCTTTCACCTGAGCCTTGTACCCAGCAAAATAAAATCATCTTTGAACTCCCGTGGCTAATCACCATCAACATACCCAAATCCATACTAATTCTGTGAAAGTGTGGCCTGGATGATAAGCATGTTTTGTTCTACTGGACGGCTGCAGTAGAGGGAATATTAAGCAGATGAACTTCCCTAATCACATCCAGCCCCGAGAACAATGCAGTTGACCTGCATACAAGGTACCCCAGGTGGGATGGGGCGAGTGGAAGCGTATTGGGTGGCGGGGGGAGACCAGCTGAAAACCAAGTACTTGTCAATGATAAAATGGAACCCGAAATACTACTTTTTCTGGGTCACTTTCTTGCCGGAGAACTTGGTACCACATCAGCCAAGTCCCCAGTGCGTTGGCTTCCGTTTCCTTCCTCCAATTCTCAGCCCCAGGGCTGCAGGGCCTGGCTGAGAGCCCAGGTGGGAATTCTCCACTAGAACAGAAGTCTTTCTGGGCCGCCCACCCACACTGGCTTGCTGTGATCTTGCTCGTGGCGGCCTCTGAGTCCCCCACGGGCCCACGTGATGTGGTCCCCAACCCCATCAGTAACTGCTTTACCCGATGATAACCTTCTTCCTCCCCTAAAATCACTGGGGGGTGAGCCCAAGTCCTCACTTCTCTCTGAAGATTTCCCCTGCCCAAAACAAGTGTGTTGTACAGGGCAATGTTGGCTGTTGGTTTTAGTTTAGTTTGTGGGGGGAGTGGTTGGGGTCACTTGCTCCTGGGTCTACACTCAGGATCACACCACGAAGGGATGGCTGTTGGAACTCCGTAAGACTGAAAACCAATCATGAACCGCTTTATAATGCTCGATCTTACAGTGATCTATTTTTTTTTAAATAAAGTGATTATACGGGGTGCTGGGGATCAAACTCGGGTTGGCTGTGTGCAAGCAAGCTTCTGACCTGCTGCGCTCTCTCTTCTGCATCCCTGCATTGGTTTTAGACAGTGATCGTGGGACTATAGGACTCGGGTGGGGGTGTCACTGTGGTCCAGAATCTTCTGCAAGGCTTTGCAGGTTTGGCCATTGACTGGAGGAATGCACACACATATCACAGATCTGGGCAGAGAGCAGGAAGCAATGGTGAGAAGAGGCTCTTGGGGCCTGTCTGTGTCCGACCTCCCCTCCATCCCCCGGAGCTTGGCAGCCAGGCATTGGTCTCTGCTGGTCCGCCCAGCTCTGGGGAAGACACTGCCCTTGGGAGCGTGGATTCTGGGTGAGCAGGCAAGAATGATGCTTGCGTAACACTCTTGGGCTGGGGCATAGTGCAGGGGAAGGCTTCTGCCCTGCACACGGCCTCCCTTGGGTCCATTCCTGGCACCACAGACGGTCCCCTGAGCGCGGCCATGAGTGATCCCTGAGCACAGGGCCAGAGGTGAGCCCAGCTCTGACCCTGAGACCCACTCCTCAGGAACACCCACAAGGACACAGGACAGTCCCCAGTGTCCCCTGTGTGTGCAGAGGACATGAAAGCTGGCAACAGAAGCAGGGAGAGGGGAATGGACAGCACCTGGGCCCCTGAGTATGGGGGGCAGTCAGCTGGCTCAGGACACTGGACAGGCTGACCCATTCGCAGCAGACATGAAGGACAGAGAAACGGGGTGGGCTGGGGGCAGACAGATCACACAGGGGTGAAGCACTTACCTTGAAGGTGGCTGGCCTGGTCTGAGCGCCCGGAACCACATATGGTCCCCCGAGCACCACCAGGGGTCATTCCTGAGTCCTTAGCACAGAGCCAGTGATAGCCCCTGAGACCACTGGGTATGGTCCACCAGTTCCCCCACTGCGCCCCGCCCCTCCCTCAAAAATAAGAGCGAAAGAACAGAGAAATGAAGTGAGCCCAACTGGTGGAGACAGTTGAAACTCTGGCCAAGTGGCTCATTTACCTGTGAGTTCGTTATTCTGTCTCACCTCCACCCAATGAACACCGTTGCGAGTGCTCAGTCTGAGGGCCCAGTGCTAGGACCCCAGAAAAGGAACCGAGGAAGGGCGAGGACTGTAGGACTCGTTGAGCCAAGGAACACGGGGGGCATCTGCAGGGGAGAGCGTGAGGGACACAGATAGGGTATGGGGAGATGCACCTTGAAAGGGGGCACATCTGGGAAACGACCGCATATGGCTGGGGTTCCAGGGAATGGATGAAGATGCAAGAAACAGGGAGGAGGGTTCTGGGGAGGGCAGTTCTGCTTGGGGAACCGGTGGTTTGTGTCTGTTGGTGGACTGAGAAATTAAGATGAAGCACAGAAAACCTGTGACCCCCTACCCTTGCTCTGGCTGGCTCTTGTCTTTTTGTTGTTGTTGTTGCTTTGCTTTTTGGATCACACCCAGCGATGCACAGGGATTACTCTTGGCTCTGCACTCAGGAATTACTCCTGGCGGTGCTTGGGGGGCCATATGGGATCCTGGGGATCGAACCCAGGTCGGCCGTGTGCAAGGCAGACACCCTACCCGCTGTGCTATATCGCTCCAGCCCCTTGTCTTGTTTTTGTTTTATGCTCAGGGCTTCTGGCTCTGTCCTGGCAGGACTCGGGGGACCATATGTAGTACTAGGATCGAACCCGAGCCAGACGCGTGCAAGGCAATCCCTGAACTACTCTCCCGGAAGCTGTTGTTTTGAAGTGAGAAGCACACAGGTCTGAGTCAGGCCACCTGCTGAAACAGGAAATTCCTGGTCAGCAGCAGCTGCGCGTCGCAATCTGGGCTGAATCTCTGCCCTGCCCCATCACCGGTGGAAGGGACACTGTGAGACACCCCCAATTCAGGCCACCAGGGTGGGCACCGAGGGGAGACACCCGTGTCCCATGTCCAGGAACTGTCACCGTGTTACAGAGACTGACCAAGAGTCAGACGTGGGCACCTGAGAGATGAGAGGGCCAGTCACGCTTTCTGCACACGGATGCTACCTGGCAAACGCTGGCAGGGTCAATCTCTGTGTGCAGCTTGCACTGAATCAGGCACGCAGCTTCCACGGGAGCGACTTTCTCGCCTGACACACTGTGGTGCTACCATATGTAACGCAGTGATGAGGACGTTGTTTTAAGTTCCACAGAGACACTGACTGATTGTTTCCGTGGCCCTGTCCCATTCCCGCTCCGGTGACCAGATGGGCCTGGCCCTTCTGTTCTGGCCTTAACTTTATGATTTATGACCTATGTGTTATTTGTCTCTGCTCAGCTCCCTGAATGGGCCACTCCGAGCCCTGCCTCTAGGTTCCTGCTTCCGCTCCTGACTTTCTCACGACGACAGGGCCCTGCCCGCTGGGCTGGGGAGGCCGAGCGGTGGCTTGGCCACTCAGAGATGGGTTTGACGAGAGCACACCAGCTTGTGTCTTCTTTTTT